TCGCTCTCTCAAGGTCATGCCACAGCATTTCAATGGGGTTGAGGTCAGGAATCTGACTGGGCCACTCCAGAAGGCGTATTCTGTGCTGTTGCAGCCATTGTTTTGTTGAATTACTTGTATGCTTTGGGTCATTGTCCTGTTGCATCACCCATCCTCTGTGGAGCTTCAGTTGGCGGACAGATGGTCGTACGTTTTCCTGCAAAATGTCTTGATAAACTCTGGAATTCATTTTCCCATCGATGACAACAATCCGTCCAGGCCCTGAGGCAGCAAAGCAGCCCCAAACCATGATGCTCCCTCCACCATGTTTTAAAGTGGGGATGAGGTTTTGATGTTGGTGTGCTATGCCTTTTTTTCTCCACACATAGTGTTGTGTGTTCTTCCCAAACAACTCAATCTTGGTTTCATCTGTCCACAGTATATTTTGCCAGTAGTGCTGTGGAACATCCAGGTGCTCTTTTGCAAACTTCAAACGTGCTGCAATATTCTTTTTGGACAGCAATGGCTTCCTCCGTGGTGTCCTCCCATGTACTCCATTCTTGTTTAATGTTTTCCTTATTGTAGAGGTGTCAACAAAAATGTTAGCATGTGCCAGAGATTTCTGTAGGTCTTTAGCTGACACTCTGGGATTCTTCTTTACCTCATGCAGCATTCTGCGCTGTGCTCTTGCAGTCATTTTTACAGGACAACCACGCCTAGGGAGAGTAGTAACAGTGCTAAACTTTCTCCATTTGTAGATAGTCTGTCTTACCATGGACACATGAACATCAGGGCTTTTGGAGATACTTATGTAACCCTTTCCAGCTTCATGCAAGTCAACAGTTCTTGATCGTAGGTCTCCTAAGAGCTCTTTTCTGCGAGGCATGGTTCACATCAGACAGTGCTTCTTGAAACCAGTAAACCCAAAACAGGTGTGTGTTTTTTTAAGGGCAGGACAGCTGTCAGCAACACATCCAATATCATCACACTGATTGGAGTCAAGGTTGGCTCACTCCTGGCTCCAATTAGCTCTGGGAGAAGTCATTAAGCTAGGGTCTCACATACTTTTTCCTCCCTGCACTGTGAATGTTTATCATGTTATGTGCAATTAAACCATGGCAACATCTAATGTTTGTGTAGTATTATGTTCAGCAGACTGTGTTCTTCTATTGTTGTGACTTAGATGACGTTCAGAGCACATTTTATGCCCAATTCATGCAAAACTCCACGTAATCCCAAGGGGTTCACATACTTTTTCTTGCAACTGTATATATATATATATATATATATATTTCATTTGTTTCTTTATGTGTATCACACAGGGCATGTCATTTTCTCCTCCCAATGCCTTTCACTTTCACTGGCAGGAAAAACAGCAGCTTAAAATCATGCCTAAAGCTGCACATCGCACCTGTATTTGGATGCGCTTAGACACATCAAGCACGTGAGCATTAATGGATGCCATTGGCCTTAATATTTATTCTGGCCATTGCAATGCATTAACGCTCAAGCGTGTCGAAGTACATCTGGTGTTTAGATGCGTGTAGACATGTTTAGATGCATTTAGGTGCATTTTTCTGCTCAAACGCTCCTTAAATGTGCTGGTGACTTTTCAGCTTTTAACTCTCCTCCTCTAATTTGCCTGTAAATACCTATGTGTTCAAGGAGATAGAAGTGTTTTTACAGGCTGAAAAAAATCATCAAACGCCTGTAAAAGCAGGAGTTTCAAGTCCTGTGTACATGAGGCCTGTCACAAAATATTTGTAATAGTAAAAATATGAAGAAAAAAAAATGTGTGTTGTGCAGTTTGTTCTTGCCTTGGATCAGTTAGAAATTGACAGGCTCACTTTGAAAAAGTTACCAATTTTTAGTCTAAGGTGTAAATCCACTTTGAGAACCAACAAGAAAACTCAAGTATCAGGCACTGAAAATACAGAACATATTGACAATCTAAATGAGGAAAGTGATGAGCTTGGTGAGGGAATTTTTTACAATTATATTTCAGCCTGATAGCAGAGGTGTGATCCGACTTTAGACTAAATATTATACAGACAAATACTTTGAGACAAAAGGTTCCATAGCTTTTCTAACGCCATCGTGAATTATAAATTTAACACAGAAGTTCTAAAGGCTGATGTAATTTTTTCTTAAACTAGAGGTTTTTGTATGTCATATTGGTTTATGGCATACAAGATTTGTGCCATTCATTAACCTTCCTAGCGGTCTGATTATGTCCATATTTCTGTGCTCAAAGCAGTACATTTTTTTTCCATGGAAATATGTATTTTTTTTTATTGTAGGACTGTCATTTTTAGGAATAACTCACTGAAATCTGTACGAACAAGAGTCTAGTAAACATCCCGGGTATGTTAAAATTTGAAACACGAAATCATAGATTATAATTTAATAAATAATCATAAAAAATAATAATATAATAATAATACATTTAATTCAATAATATAATCAAACGAAAAAACACTGAAATTTGAAAAATAGCGCCAAGTTCGCACATCACTGAGCTCAGTCGCAAAATCGTTTTCAATGTCTGATGACAAATTTCCCCACAAATCATTATCACTCAATTCTGCAAGTGGTTCTGATTTACTATCGTTGTTTTTTAGCTGGTCTAAAACCGATTTTGACCTAAAGGGATGCTTTTTTGAAAAAACCTTGCGAGCTAAGTAATAAATTCCTATTGTTGGATCGCAAACTTTTTAACACATAACAATTATATCCCCCTGATGAAGCCACGTGACTAGTGGCGTAACGCGTAGGGGTGGGACTGTTCACGTCACTCGGAGGGAGTCGGTCCGGTCATCGGATCACGAACACACAGCTCCAACAGCCAGCGGAGGTCTGAATCAGCTGTACTACCACTATATGATTTATGTGAGAGCCACCTGTCAGCTTCACATTAAAAGCTTTTAAAACGATAAAGCACCATGTCAGAATTTTCTTGTTTATGGAGAATCACATGGAAATAAGAAGACAGCTGAGTGGCACCCAGTGAGAGGATACTTTTCTACAGCACATGTCGCATTTAATGGTTATCTTATCAACATCAGTTCCTAAACAAGTAGGTTCCAAGGAGGTGAACCGCAAGCTTTAATAGCCTAATTGCAGGCTATCTATGAGGTGAGCGCACATCTTCACTTGAGGGAGGAGGCACAAGCAGTCACCTATTTAAAGATATAGAAGATTTTTCAGCACAAAGTCACTTATATGTTTTTTGTGGGACATTTTATCATATAATATTATTTTATCATTTTACTTTTAGTATTTTTCACTATTTCGTTTATGTGAGTTGATTTTTATATTCACTCATTTAGTTATTTATGTATATCGTATACACTTTTTCATTTGTCTATATATATAGATTGGAAGGTTGTGAGCGCAATACTATATATCTTTATTTCATGCTTTTTTGGATACCATGGACATTTCTCAGTTTCCAGGCAGAAAGAATGGTAAAAATGCAGGCAGGGCACAGGACAAAGCACTAGGGACAAAATGTATGTGAAATGGTTTGATAAAGTAATGTTTTACTATGTGATTTTAGTGTATTTTTAGTGAATGCCACTTTTTGTCTTTCAAATTTCCCGCCGTTCCGTCCCCCATACGTCCTGACGTCGCAGGGAACGGAACCCAGAAGACAGATGCCAGCATCGCCGGAGGGACATGGCCGGGGACACTGCAGGAGGGACATCACGGGAGCGCAGGGTAAGGTAAGAGAAGAACAGATCCCAGAGCAGCGCCACATGGTAAGCCCGAGTGTAGCTCGGGGTTACCTCTTATGGTACTGAAACTTTACCCCGAGCTACACTCGGGAATACCACCATGGAGGTTAATACTGTATTCCTCCCACCCCCCAAAATAAAAATAAATAAATAAAGCATGTTTTTGTGTGAATTTTCATGCAAAGTAACTTACATTTTGCATTACATACCATTATTCCCAATGACTTAAAGAAGGATTGGTAAACCAATGAAAATGTTTTAAAGATAAATACATTTGCGAATAGTTTAACAAAGTAAAACAGAATTGAAGTTAAAAAAATTTAAAAAAATAAGAGCGAACAGTTTTTCAATAGAAGGACAAAAAATATACCCCCCCCCCCATTTTTTCCTAAAGAGTGGAGTTTAGTGCCTGTATAATGTAACTCAATCTCACATGGTCACTGGTCACCCTACTGTATGATTGAAGACATGATGCTAGCAAATGAAGCATCAAAGAAGGTGGCAGGAAGAAGATTGTAAGGCCAGATGTGAAGTAATAAGTAGAGGAGCATAGAGCTCCTCTACTTATTACTTCACATTGTATAAAAAAAAACATTGTATAGCTATTGGTACAGCAAAAAACTGCTGGTAAATTCATTCTAAGCAAATGGGGCAAAATTGAATGTTCTGCTTTTCCCTCTACAGGTTGAATGTTATTTATTCATAAGAAAGAGAGGTTCAATATACACTCAATGGCCACTTTATTAACCTACCTAGCGGTATGATTATGTTCATATTTCTGTGCTCAAAGCAGTACATTTTTTTGCATTTATTGTAGGCCTGTAATTCTTAGGAATAACTCACTGAAATCTGTCCGAACAAGAGTCTATTAAACATCCCGGGTATGATAAAATTTGAAACACGAAATCAAAATTATAATTTAATAAATAATCATAAAAATAATAATATAAGAATAAATTTAATTCAATAATGTAATCAAACCAAAAACACTGAAATTTGAAATATAGCGCCAAGTTCGCACATCACTGAGCAAAGTCGCAAAATCGTTTTCAGTGTCTGATGACGAATTTCCCCACAAATCATTATCACTCAATTCTGCAAGTGGTTCTGATTTACTATCGCTGTTCTCTAGCTGGTCTAAAACCGATTTTGACCTAAAGGGACACTTTTTGGACACCATGGACGTTTCTCAGTTTCCAGGCAGAAAAATACAGGCAGGGCACAGGACAAAACAGTAGGGACAAAATGTATGTGAAATAGTTTGATACAGTAATGTTTTACTATGTGATTTTAGTGAATGTCACTTTTTGTCATTTTCAAATTTCCCGCTGTTCCGTCCCCCGTACGTCCCGACGCACGAAGGGGGACGGAACCCAGATGACAGATGACGGCATCCGCCGGATTATATTGCTGGGGACACTGCAGGGGGGACATCGCGGGAGCGCAGGACAAGGTAAGTGATCGAGGGATCCCGGAGCAGCGCCGCATGGTAAGCCCGAGTGTAGCTCGGGGTTACTGCTTGTGGTACTGAAACTTTACCCCGAGCTACACTCGGGAATACCGCCAGGGAGGTTAAGTACCGCTGTTCAATTTCTTGGTAACACAAATTGCTAATCAGCCACTCACATGGCAGCAACTCAAGTGCAATGCATTTAGGCATGTAGACATGGTGAAGATGACTTGTTGAAGTTCGAACCAAGCATTAGAATGAGGAAGAAAGGGGATTTAAGTGACTCTGAATGTGGCATGGTTGTTGGTGCCAGATGGGTTGATTTGAATATTTTAAAAAAAATGCTGATCTACTGGGATTTTCACGTACAACCATCTCTAGGGTTTACAGAGAAAGGTCTGAAAAAAGAGAAAAAATATCCAGTGAGCGGCAGTTGTGTGGACGAAAATGCCTTGTTGATGTCAGAGGTCAGAGGAGAATGGACAGACTGGTTTGAGATGATAGAAAGGCAACAGTAACTCAAATAACCACTCGTTTCAACCAAGGTATGCAGAATCTCTGAATGCACAACACATTAAACCTTGAAGCAGATGGGCTACAGCAACAGAAGACCACACTGGGTGCCACTCCTGGCAGCTAAGAACAGGAAACGGGGGCTAACATTCACATGGGCTCACAAAAATTGGACAATAGCAAATTGGAGAAACATTGCCTGGTCTGATAAGTCTTGATTTTAGGTGCGACATTCAGATGGTAGGGTCAGAATTTGGCGTAAACAACAGAAAGCATGGAACCATCCTGCCTTGTATCAATGGTTCAGGCTGGTGGTGGTGTAATGCTGTGGGGGATATATTCTTGGCACACCTTGGGCCCCTTAGTACCAATTGAGCATTGTTTAAAAATCAAGATAATATAAGATAGACAGTGCAGCGCTAGATGATATATGACTGCACCAGTATTGAAGATGGTGCAAAATCCCTTACCTAAATGTCAACTAATGTGGACCACATATATTATATGTGACCACACATACTATATGTGACCTTCCCAAGAATTGAAAAAAAAAATAAAATAATGACGTGAACTTCACACAACTTCACTTCACAATAAAAAACGCACAATATAAATGCACAATATAGTCCAGTCATCAAAGAAACACAGATAAGTGTATCTCGATAAGATCCTTATGATGCATGTAGTCCGGCGATGTGCAGAAGAAGTGAATAAATTGCGCACTCACGGAAGCACAATATAAGTTGTGCGTTTGTGTCTCATACACCAAGGATCACTCCGACTGTAGATGAAGGGAAGCTCTGAACAGGTGGCTCTGTGATAAAAGGTAACACATCTGGGGGTTCCTTCTAGTAGACAGGCTCCAAAACAGGATCAGCTGAATGTTTCTCTGGGCCTTGGGGTAGTCACCTGGTGGTCCTGAGGAATTAAATGCTCGATGTGGAGCAAAAAGGAATACCCATAGTGTAGTATTTAAATCAAATTTAAAAAGATTTATTGTATATTAGAAAAAACACTTAACATGAGTATGAGGATAAAATCAATCCTTGTGCACTAAGGATATCATAAATGACACACTGACCAGCTGGTATAGAAGAGTGGCCGCCGGACCCCCTTGATCCGGCGGCTTGGCGTCACGGCTAGCAGGGGCTCCTCCTTGACGCGCGTTTCGTATCACACGTACATCATCAGAAGGAATAAGAGCTCTTATTCCTCTGATGATGTACGTGTGATACGAAACGCGCGTCATGGAGGAGCCCCTGCTAGCCGTGACGCCAAGCCGCCTGATCAAGGGGGTCCGGCGGCCACTCTTCTATACCAGCTGGTCAGTGTGTCATTTATGATATCCTTAGTGCACAAGGATTGATTTTATCCTCATACTCATGTTAAGTGTTTTTTCTAATATACAATAAATCTTTTTAAATTTGATTTAAATACTACACTATGGGTATTCCTTTTTGCTCCACATCGAGCATTTAATTCCTCAGGACCACCAGGTGACTACCCCAAGGCCCAGAGAAACATTCAGCTGATCCTGTTTTGGAGCCTGTCTACTAGAAGGAACCCCCAGATGTGTTACCTTTTATCACAGAGCCACCTGTTCAGAGCTTCCCTTCATCTACAGTCGGAGTGATCCTTGGTGTATGAGACACAAACGCACAACTTATATTGTGCTTCCGGTGAGTGCGCAATTTATTCACTTCTTCTGCACATCGCCGGACTACATGCATTATAAGGATCTTATCGAGATACACTTATCTGTGTTTCTTTGATGACTGGACTATATTGTGCATTTATATTGTGCGTTTTTTATTGTGAAGTGAAGTTGTGTGAAGTTCACGTCATTATTTCCCTTTTTTCAATTCTTGGGAAGGTCACATATAGTATGTGTGGTCACATATAATATATGTGGTCCACATTAGTTGACATTTAGGTAAGGGATATTGCACCATCTTCAATACTGGTGCAGTCATATATCATCTAGCGCTGCACTGTCTATCTTATATTGTCTGTTTGAAGGTTTATGGTTTTTCCTTTTTAGTGTATCAGCTGCTGTGTCGGTTAGCGCTCACTGAATCCCTTATTACCATGTTTAAAAATCAAGACCTATCTGAGAATTGTTGCTGACCATGCCCATCCCTTTATGACTATAGTGTACCCATCTTCTGATGGCTACTTCTAGCAGGACAATGCACCATGTCACAAAGCTCAAATCATCTTAAATTGGTTTCTTGAACATGACAATGAGTTCACTGTACTCCAATGGCCTCCACAGTCACCAGATCTCAATCTAATAGATCACCTTTGGGATGTGGTGGAATGGGAGATTCGCATCATTAACTTCAATTCTGTTTTACTTTGTTAAACTATTCGCCGACAAATCTGCAGCAACCGCGTGATGCTGTCATGTCAACATGAAAAGCAAACTCTCTGAGGAATGTTTCCAACACTTTGGTGAATCTATGCCATTAAGAATTAAGGCACTTCTGAAGGCAAAAGGGGGTCCAACCCGATATTAGCAAGGTGTACCTAATAAAGTGGCTGGTGAGTGTATACCTCAATATGTCCACTAGATGGAGCTGATGAACCTAGGAAATATGTATTTATTTTCTTTGATCTTAGCCATGACCCATGAATGAAGTATTTCACCAAACCACTACTTTTTATGGATGAATAACATTCAACCTGTAGAGGAAATAGACGGAGAACCTTCAACTTTGCCCTATGCTCAAAGAATGTACTAGCAGGTAAGCTGGCTAAATGGCAATCCAATTCTTTTTTTTTTTCTATAAATTCACATCATAATTCATCATCTTAGTCATTGCAGGATCATTAGTAGTAAAAAAAACATACTAAAAGAGCACCCTTTTCTTTTTAAATTCCATTCGCCCTTTGTTCACCCTTTGCTTCATAATTTAGGGCCTCCATAGACTCTTCTATTGTGTCAAAGGCCCCTTTAGCCTCTACTCCTCCCTTTAGTACTGTCATGGCACTCTTCACTGTTGCTTTGCATGATTTCAGATGACAGCATCCTGGACACTCTATACAGGAGTAATAACTAATCTTGAAAGTCGTATCATTGAGTCAGTCATGAAATCGCTTTCAGAACTACTCACTACTGCATACAGCATGCTTCTGAATGTGACCTCTGTTCCCTGTTGCTTCCAATGTTAACTGGCAGAATTTTGGGTGACAGCAGAGATGCTGTGTTTAGAAGCATACTGGCACACTGCATGCTGCAGTGGTGAGTAATTGTGTAATTACAATGTACATTGCATCCACGCTGGTAGACAGGGGTGCAGAACTGTAAGGGTACCCATACCCCATATAAATACTGGTAAGAGTGTGAAACACTTTTACCTTCTTGTCCCCTGCTGTGTTTCGTCATCTCCTGCCATTTTGTATTTATAACCTCTAATAAAGTAGATCATCGGTGTGCAGCCATTCAGAATCGTGCAACATGCAAGCTGAGCTAGCACCTGATCAGAGGTTGTGTATGGGGAACTCGCCAAGGAGCAGCAGTGCATTTATACAGAAACCCAATACCTTGGTCTACACAGTTTCGGCAAATTTAAAGGACCAGGTGCAAAGTTTGAACAGTCAGATTGTAATGTATGTGGCCATCTTGATACATGAAGTTAACTGACTAGAGGAAAAAGCACAGTGATGACTTCATCAGGTGCAGCTGTTTCACTTTTTGATCATAGTCTATGCTGCTCCAATCTGCCACTATACTGCCCTAATCTGACACTATGCTGCCCCAATCTGACACTATACTGTCCTAACCTGCCACTATACTGCCCCAACCTGCAACTATATTGCCCTAATCTGACACTATACTGACCTAACTCGTCATTATATTACCCTAACCTGCCACTATAGTGACTTAACACATCACTATACTGCCCTAACTTGCCACTATTCTGACACCATACTGCCCTAAACTGTCACTGTACTGCCCTAATCTGACACTATACTGCTCTAACCTGCCACTATACTGCTCTAATCTGTCTCTATACTGCCCTAACCTTCCACTATACTGCCCTAATCTGACACTATACTGCCATAACCTGCCACTATACTGCACTAATCTGACACTATACTGCCATAACCTGCCACTATACTGCACTAATCTGACACTATACTGCCATAACCTGCCACTATACTGCACTAATCTGACACTATACTGCCATAACCTGCCATTATAACTGCACTAATCTGACTGCACTAATCTGACAATCTATATACTGACACAATCGGATATTATCCTCATCTGATACTATACTACCCTAATCTGACATTATACTGCTCTAATCTGTCACTATACTGTCCTAGAATTACACTATATTTCCATAGCCTGACACTATACTGATCTCAGCTATGTGTTGTGTGGGGAGGAAGAGCTGTTGCCTGTGCCCATGCAGTACAGGGATGGGAAAAGGAGCTCTGATGGATGTCATGCCAGCAGTGACCCTTGCCCTTCCCTTTGCCAGAAGTGATTTATGTCCTCTGCCCATCCAGAAGTGACCCCTGTCCTCTGCCCTTCCAGTTGTGACACTTGTTTTCCACCCTGTTGACGACTGTTCTCAGCTCTGCTTTCCTCCACCC